CACTTTGGGAGGCTGAGGTGGGCAGATCATGAGGTCAGGAATTTGAGACCAGCCTGACCAACACGGGGAAACCCCATCTCCACTAAAGATACAAAAAATTAGCCAGGCTTGGTGGCACGCACCTGTAATACCAGCTAGTAGGGAGGTAGAGGCAGGAGAATCACTTGAACCCAGGAGGCGGAGTTTGTGATGAGCTGAGATCTCGCCTTTGCACTCCAGGATGGACAACAGGGCTAGACTCTGTCTCAAAAAAAAATGAAGTAGATTGAAATCCCTAAGTGATTGTATATCCTTATGAGAGATTAATTAAGGGAGAATTTGGGGCTAAATTAGAGTACACAGGATACTAAGCAAACAGAAAGACAAGGCAATTATTAATTCCAGGAAAAACACAAATGGTGCAGGAAAGAAAAACAATTATAACTATTCACATGGATCAACCGTGATTGGTATAATCATAATAATGCAAACACTAAACACAGGAGGATGGGAAGTGAAGCTGGGGTGACAGGGAGATTGGAAAAAAAGGGCTTCTCTTTTTTTTTTTTTTTTTTGAGCCGGAGCTTCACTCCCTTTGCTCAGGCTGGAATGTAATGGTGCGTTCTCGGCTCACCGAAACCTCCGCCTCCTGGGTTCAAGTGATTCTCCTGCCTCAGCCCCCCAAGTAGCTGGGATTACAAGGTATGAGCCACCACACCTGGCTAATTTTGTATTTTTAGTACAGGCAGGGTTTCTCCATGTTGGTCATGATGGTCTCGAACTCCTGACCTCAGGTGATCCACCTGCCTCAGTCTCCCAAAGTGCTGGGATTACAGGTGTGAGCCACCATACCTAGCTCTTTTTTCTTTCTTTAACCTCAGTGATCCTTCTTCGGAAGGGCTAGCTTCTCATCTTCAACAGCACAAAGCCAATAGCTAATACCTAAACAGAAAACACTGGAGTGCAGTGGCACAACATGGCTCACTTCAGCCTCAACCTCTACAGGTAAGGCCAAGTGCAGTGGCTGTAATCGCAGCCCTTTGGGAGGCCAAGGCAAGAGGATCAGTTAAACCCAGGAGTTCATGGTTACAGTGAGCTGTGATTATGCCACTGTACTACAGTCTGGGCAACAGAAAGAGACCCTGTTCCTGAAAAAAGAAAGACCCCTTATCCCCCTCCAAAAAAAAAAAAATTGAAAAAATTTAAAAAAAAGAAACATCGCCGGACGCGGTGGCTCACGCCTGTAATCCCAGCACTTTGGGAGGCTGAGGCGGGTGGATCACGAGGTCAAGAGA